AAAAGTTTTCCTCAGACATAAGGAAAAGGATAATGATTTATTAAATTAATTTCCTTAGATATTCACCTTTAGGCTAAAATATTTTAATATTTTATTAGATTATAAATTAGACTCTTTTAAATGATAGCATGTCCATACACAAATATATTATTATGTGAGTTCATAAATAAAATGTGAAATGATCACTTGTACAAATTTGTATTATGGATCCTTTTACTATGCCTTTTACCAACTGAATTCTTAGACTTAGGGCCCGTTTGGCCAAGCAATATGGTATCATGATATGATATCATAATATGGAATTATGAGATGAAATTGAAGTTTTGTTTGTACATGCGATATAAAATTTTGATGTTGTATATTTTCTCATAAACATACAAATTTCATAAGTTGTAAAAGTATTAAAATAGCCCCAATTGTTTATCAAATCTTACCAAATAAACAAAAATGTATAAAATCGCATAATATATTATTTCATTGCTATTTGTTCTCCACTTAAGTAATTGTTTTATCAAGCTTTAATTCAATAATAAATTGAACATAAATTTTAGTGTACTAGTCTTTAATATTACTCAACAATCGGTTGGTGTGAGTTAAAGTAACTATATGTTGGTGAGAATAATAAATTTGATATATGTCGGTTAGAATAATAAATTTTAAAAAGTAATGATGTCATTATAAACTTTATTTACAAATAAAATAAATGGTTAGTAGATATAAATGTGGGGTTGTTTTAACAAAATATAAATTTGTGCATCAATTTTTATATTAAAAATATCTCAAATCATGATACGGAATTCTCATATCATAGTTTTTGGAGAATATGAAATCACATCTCATGATATGGAATCATGAAATGGAATCAGCATAAAATCGCATGTCCAAACGCTGATTCCATCTCACGATATCATATCGTGATATGGTATCGCATGGCCAAACGCCTACTTAATAAAACCCAATATATCAAACCCTTGTAACCATTGACCATGTTGATGTGTCATTAAGATGGCCGAGTTGGCAAGAAAGTGTGATTACTCGCGTGTAAAAAGGCAAGTGAATATCATATTTAAGATAAAAATATTAAAATTATAAAGGAATAAAATTAAGAAAATATTTTTTTTCAAACTCTTCTTCTTCACGCACTCAACCATTTTTAGCCATTCCAATCCCTTTTTCTTTCTTCTCTACACAACATTGTCATCTTCTTTAACAGATCTTGGCATTGACATTGGCACCTCATTGAGTCCATTGCTTCGCAGACGAAAGGTGAGAACGATGGTGTTTGCTGGAGTCCACTGATTCGTAGTGGAGTGAGAGAGAGGTGGTGCTGGTTCCTTTTTTTCGCCAAAGCGGGAGGCGGCAAGGAGATTTGCCAATCGGAGTTGGTGGTGAAGCAACGACTTAGGATTGAAGGATTTGTGTAGGTTGGAGAAGGAGGAAAGGAAATTGGTGAGGATCTGGCAGATATGGAGACGGGTGTGGGAGAGAGTCTATGTGGTCTCGCCGGCAAAAGGAGTGGCAGCAGCGATGACTTTTTCCGGTGAAATTTGGCCATTTCACCATGGAAATGGGAGAAGATGTATGGCCAGTGGTCACTTTGGAGTCCCAAATTTTAGTTTGAAGAAAAAATTAATTTTTATTATATTACCATTTATTTAATAATTTTAGTTAAGAAAATTTTAAAATAATTAATGAAGATTATTATGACATGTTATTAATTTATGTGACATGAATTTGACATGTCATCTATTTAGAATAAGTGAACTACACACATGGTATAGTAGGAGGGGTTTACAAATCTTTTTTTGATTGAATCTAAGGCTTCAGTTGGTAAATAGTTAAATAGAAAGATTCAAAATACAAACTCATACCTATACAAAGATCATCAGACCATTTCGCCTAAATAAAAATTACTAACAAACCATACTTATCCATATTGTTATGTGCGTTTACCCAGTGTGGAAAAGAGAATTGAGCTGTCTAGGTCATCCATGGTGGAGTAACATTATTGTTGTTTTTTTGTTTCATCTCTTATAAGTGTGAACTGCTGGCTAGCACCATTCAGGTGACAACGTTTATTGTCATATGGACAAAATGTCAGCAACAAAATATGTAAGATAATGATGACGATTGCTTAAACGTGATGGAAGATCTCGGATACATGGATGTTATAGATAAGACTGATCAATTTTGGGATGATCCGCGTTTCCCCAAGTGACGGAAATTTTCAACAACATGACAGAGTCGGGATTCCAACTCTCACAAGATGACATCAAAATTTTGGGCTAATGAGTGATCTTTTCCAAGGTGACGGCTAGCCGGCTGTTATTCTTCTTTGAGTGGCTGAAGCAAAAACAAAGACTTGATCTCTGTACAAGACATGAGGAACAATAAGCTCAATCATTCCACTATAGAAAGCGCTTCGAAACGCTTGGGGTCCACAAAAGAAGGGAAGAAACAGTTGTTGACACTCATACTTGAATACAAAAGAAACAAACGAGTGAAGCAGCAGCAGCTGAATCTCTTAATGAATCGAACCCAAACCCTAACTACGGTTTCCAGTGTAACACTGGCTTCAATCCATCGCCATGGATACCACCTCCCCGCGAGCCCTTTTACCCAATCCCTACGTTCATGGGGTTTGAAGGTGATCCTTACTGTAACGGACCTTCATTTGCACCTCACTTGAGTCAAACAGTAAATGGGAAAATGGAATATCAAACTATGGACTCCGCGGTGGAATACGTACAATCCATTAGTTCGTGATAATGGCACCACAAATGCTAATCCAGCTCACGATTTGTTCCGTCAATATCCTTACCAAATTTTCTATGAGAATGGTGAGATTGGGATCTTCTGCCAGGAAGAAAAGAATGGCTCGGCAAAAGTACCATTATCGCCACCATAGCCTCAGTCAAAGTCAACATCAAAGCCAAAGTAGTACTGACCAAGGTTGTCTTAAGGATTGTTGGAGAAAATTTTACAATGTGTCCAGCTAATAATCCCTTCTGATTCTCCACCACCGATGATGATGGTTCCACCACCTGAGGCACCACAACTACATCCTGAGAAGCTCAGGATGAAACCAAGCATGGTTCTGTGGACAAGCAATCGTAGGTTTGCTTATTTGTTTCTCCACATTTTCTATAGAGATCGATGAACTTTTACACTATTATGTCACCTAAAAAATAATTACTCCGTACAAGTAACTGTTTGGACTTGCTAAACACAAAATGGAAGGCAATTTGCTACAATAGAAAATTCTTTATGCTATTATCCGTGTATATAAATAAGATCGGTAAACATAAAGATAATTTATGTATATTTGCGGCAGTAAATTTTGTGTGGATATTCTATGGCAGGGTTGGAAAACAGAAGGTGCTGAAGCAGAGTGATGTTGGAAATCTTGGAAGAATTGTGCTTCCAAAGGTACTTAAATTTTGTCATCATGAATTTTGATGTATTAATTTCAGGTTTTTAGTTTATATGACTGGAAAATTCTTAATTTTGTTAACAAATAGAAAGAAGCAGAATCTCATCTGCCAAAATTTGAATCAAGGGATAGAATTTCAATTGCTACGGAAGAAATTGTAAATTCTCGTGTTTGGAACATGAAGAATAGGTATGTAGACTCAATTTTAATGGAGATGACCACTAGTTTAGTTTGATTTTTTTCCCTTATAAGAACAAACAAATTAGTCCATTTTTAGTCGAACTGCAAATAAATTTGTGATTTATTTATTTTTTTGGGTGTTTAGATTTTGGCCTAATAACAAGAGCAGGATGTACCTTCTGGAGAACACAAATAATATAAACACATTTCACTATGATCCTGCTAACATCTTACTAAAAGATACTTCTCATCTATTTCAATTTGTTTAACCTATTTTTCTTTTTAGTCTGTTTCAAGAAGAATGACTCTTTTCCTTTTACGAAATATTATTCGTACACTTTAACATGGATTAGTAAATCATTTGACTTGATAGTGTAAAAAATTGTAAAAGTTAGCTAGCTGAACAAGATTTATTGATAAATAAATGAATGGTTCTCCAGGAGATTTTGTGCGAGATAATGGACTTCAAGAATATGCAGACATCAAGTGTGGCAAATATGTAAGTCCATATATACTTACAAGTATTTATCTTCAAATCACTTCTGGTGTTAATTAATTTGCTGGATATATATATAATTGTTGAATGTTACATGCATCAGTTGATACGGGGAGTAAAAGTTAGACAAATTGGACAAAAAGCAGATAGCAAGAAACCAGCAAAGAAAAACGCCTGTAATTCGTCTTATTCCAAAGTATGTTATAACACGTTTCATTAGTATTTATGGAGAAAAATGTGTGCAGATGATACAAAATTGTTGAGAATTACAAGTGTGCGGCCTGTAAATATAGTACTCTATTTCTCCCAATTTATATGACTTACTTTCTTTTTTAGTCACAAAAAAGAATGATAGATTTCTTTAAGTAGTTCATTTAATTTTAAAATGTTTATTTTACTCTTAATGAAATAATTTCTAACCACATAATTAATATTTATGACTTATTTTAGACTACAAATTTTAAATGTCTTTCTTTTTTCTTAAATTCTGTAGAAAGTCAAACTAACTCATACAAATTGGGACAAAGAGTGTGTGCGTGCGTGCGTGCGCGCGTGTGCGTGCGTGTGTGTGAGGGTTTTCTTTGATTGATCACTTTAACAATGTTCACTAGTTCAGTAAAAATTTCAATTGATTTACCAATCTAGAAAACACAAAGCATCATTAAAGACTAAGGATGAAAAAAAAACTGACTTAATAGCATAAGAACTCCATAACCTTTTATTTTGTGATCTAAAACCTCCTAAAAACAACAAGGGACTCAATAAAAAAAAGGCAAGAATTGACCATAATAAAAGACTCGATCACTAGTAAAGTCAGTCTTCTCCAAACATAGCTTGAATTTCAAGAACTCCAACTATAACTCCATGATAATTTTGAGTTCAAGATCCCTCCTACTCTTCTGGCTCAGGGGCAACATTTAAATCAAACTTCAGATGCTCAGTCAAAATAGCACTTTGTGTTTCTTTTTTAAATTTCTCTACCCGCAACTTCAATGTCAGCTTCTGCTCCTCCATGTGTTTATCTGAAGGTATTTCTGAGCCAAGGTGCATAATCTTATGCATTAATATTCTTTTTTTATCTTTCTCATTCCATGCTTGCAATTCTTTATGGAGATCCTCCAATGCCTCAAAACCATTTGATTTACCCTCAGCATAATCACGTTTGCGATCCTCTTGTTTCACTTTGAGAAATTTATCAATTATTTCTTCTATGCTTGTGGAACCATAGGAGCACGATTTTCCACTTGGTGTAAAGAGCATAACACCAACATCTGCTCCAGTTTGAATTGCAAACTTATTTGCATCTTGGAACAAAAAAAAATTATTTTTGAGAAACTCACCATACGTGCTCTCCCAGACTCAATCAACTTCATTTCAATTTTTTGCTTGCCTTTTTTGGTCTCATTTTCCATTGGAAAAATATGAAGAATAAAGTAAGATGTTTTTGTTGAATAAGACTTGCAATTTAAGAAGAATATTTGTGTAATTTATAGTAGGTGCGTGAGTGTACTCTCACGAGTGTTGTAATGTTTTCTGGTTATGAGTCTAGCTAGCTATCACGTGTATTGTCATGTTTATTTAATGCTTCATATTATTGATCGAGTCTATCTATCACGTGTATTATCATGTTTGTTTAATGCATTCATATTATGAGTCTATTATCACATTTATTTAGTATTTTCATATTATGCAATTTTATGGCAAGATTACCTTGTAACTCAAACAAAAATCTGAAGTTGCAATGTAATAATGTCGAATTGAATTTAAAGATAAATAAAACATAAATAATGCTTATGTATATAATGTTAATTCGAAAGGTGGACCAATTGGAACAATAGTACATTTATCTCTTTGTGACCTACATGTCACAAGTTCAACTAGTATGAGCAACCACTAATGATAGTGTCAATTGTGCATCACAAACCAAATCCTTATCAAGAGGTGATTATACTAATCTAAATAACAATATTCAGATCTTATGCCTCTATAAGAAATGCCATCCCAAGAATACAACTTCTTACAAATGCATTCAACAAAACTGAGTCATAATAAAGAAGTACCTAATGCATCTTGCATTCATCCTCATGTTATAAACACCACATTCAATCCTAGAACTATAACCACTCCATGAACTCCTACCTAACTAATCCTTCTAAGAATTTCTCATTCTATCGACATCTCTACCAACTGAAATTTCACACATTACTACCAAGAAATTGACTAATTACTCTTATCTAACTATTACTCATCATAAAATCTCATTTTTAAAACAAAAGCACCAAGCCCAATTGGAAATGCACCATCGCCGAGAGTTAGTTGAGTTATGGAAATCCCTTGAGAGAAGGAACTCCTTCTTCCTCCACATTTATAACCTAAGATGGAATAAGCACACCATCACTACCATACTAAGAAACATCAACCCTCTCCTATCTATCATCACACAACTACTATCATTAAAATCACTCGCAAAACTAACAAAGATCACTGAGGGAGTTAAGCGAAGGATCATATGCACGATTCATTTGAGAAATCTGAATGAAAAATATGAATGATGTAACATTATGTTTCTAGCCATTGAGATTAAATCATGAATTCGCGAGACTGAGCATACTATGAGACATGAGTGCTTATATGAATAGGTTCATATTATAAGGCTAATATCCATAACTTTATGGAGTAAGATTGAGATCAATTAGCTAAAGGCTTGCCCTCACTAGAAACATCAATAGGATGTTATAATGACTGAACTTTGAGGAATACACTAGAGTATGAATGGATTGAGATAACACTATAACTCTTTTTGAACACATCACTATTTGATTCTTTAGGCTTGACTTGGTTTCTCATCTTATCATCTCCCCTTTAGATCTAAAGCGGATACTTTAAGGCTAAGGATCTATTCCATTTTTCCTAAACTAGTATATATTCAATCTACTCTAATACTCAGAAAAAACTAATCTCATGGCTACTAAACTTTCCATGTGCAGGTACTGGCAAATTCTTCATTTTGTTAACAAATAGAAAGAAGCAGAATCTCTTCTGCCAAAACTTGAATCAAGAGATGGAATTTCAATTGCTATGGAAGATATTGTAACTTCTCGTGTTTGGAACATGAAGTATAGATGTGTAGACTCAATTTTAATGGAGCTGACCACTGTTTAGTTAGATTTTTTCCCTTATAAGAACAAAAATATTAGTCCATGTTTAGCCAAACTGCAAATCAATTTGTGATTTATTTATTTATTTGGGTGTTATAGATTTTGGCCGAATAACAAGAGCAGGATGTACGTTCTGGAGAAAATAGGTAATATAAACACATTCCACTATGATCCTGCTAACATCTTACTAAAAGATATTTCCGATCTATTTCAATTTGTTTAACCTACTTTTCTTTTTAGTCTGTTTCAAGAAGAATGACTCTTTTCCTTTTACAAAATAGAAGTTTCATATTATTCGTACACTTTAACATGGAGCAGTAAATCATTTCACTTGATAATATAAAAAATTGCACAAGTTGGCTAGCTGAATGACATTCATTGATAAATAAATGTATGGTTCTCCAGGAGATTTTTGTCCGATATTGTCACGCTCTGAAACTCCACCCTAGACGCGACATGGCACTCGAAACTCCACTAGGCCCAAGAGAGCCAACCAACATGTTTAACCCGACTAATTCAATATAAATACCAATTTAAATAATAATGCAGAAAGTAAGGCCAATCTCAATTAACCTTCGAGAGAATTCAAAAGAGGAAAAACCAATTCAACTCTTAATTAGAAAACCAAATCCAACTAACCACAGATCTACGAAACCTCTACTAACAAAATATCAATGTCTACATCGAGACATGGCCCCCGACATACCATGAAAACCAAAGGGAAGACAAATAAAGAAAAGTCTGCTTTCCAAAAGACAGAAAGCTCACCACAATGTTGATTGTTATCCCTCAATCATCTACTGCTGCCTTGAACCACGAACTTGTGTCTCTGATCCTACATCATGAAATGATGTAGTGTCGGAGGACGGTCAATACGGCCAATACTAGCATGAAAACCAGGGAAAAGGATAAACAGTATACATATATAAAACATAACCATAAAAGAAAGGCAAAATCATAAGTACAGACCCAAAGCATTTGGACATAGACCTTTCAAAATCATTAATCATGAGTAAGGTAGTATTCACCGACATAATGCGACCCACAGACTATAAGGGTCTGGCCTCCTCCGGTCCGAGGGCTCCAATCCATGTATGTCGAATGAATTTAGGAAGTATAAGAATCTGGTAAACTAAACTCTCCCAAATAAAAAACTCTAGAGGCTGCTCCGATTTAACAACCTACAGTAGCCATCCATATTTCAGGACAAGGATCTCCTACACCGGCAAATGCGGTTTCGGGTGATGAGTCACAAGGACTTTACACCTTCTTGGTGATACTACCAAACTCCATTTAAGCCCCCAATTAAAACATTTACAAGTTTTCATTTATTAAGAGTTATCCGAATAAGGCATATTCTCATTGGTATCGTCATACCAATACTTGCAAGCTATTCAAACCATGCCAATTTCATAGTTAGCCATTTAAAACTCTTTAGTCGTCGTTTAAAACCAAAGACTCATTTATGTTAAGACATTCCATTCAATGTCAGCTTTACGTTTCTTACTGATGCAAGTAGTAGAAACAGATTATTTAATGATTTTCTACTTTCGGTCATATTATACAATCTATAAGGCAAAATAAATTTGTAGTGATCAATCTATCAACCACTAGTCTATTAACTGAAACAAAAAAGTACTCTATCAAACATGCAAAACAAGTAGCAGTAATTTTAGAAAGGGAGAATGCAAAAGACAGCAATCAGAACACCATTAACGTCTACTAAAACGCATATTTTAAAAAAAAAAAATCGATAGACAATAAAAATATAAAAGTTTAAAAAATTTCTAACCATTATCCAAAGCAAAACGCAAGTAAAGATGCGGAATCAAGAACATGAACTCAAAACATATCAAATTTTGACAAATTTAATCAAGAACAATCAATTTTTTGTAAAAATTCAAAATCCACTAAACTAAAATGCAACAAAAAAAAATAGTAAGATGGAGCTAAAATTATCCGGAAAAAAAAAAACGAACTTACCTGAACACAAGATGATGAAGGTTTCGACTTGGAAAGAAGATTGGAGAAAAAAATATTTCAACTATTTGAGATACTCAAGAAAATAGGGAAGAAGAGAGAAAAATTGTTGAATAATTAAATGAATTTTAAACAAGTGGAATATCTAATAAATATAAAAAGGGGCTTAATTATATTTTTGTAAACTTGTATTTTATCCCCCAAGTTTTTAAAGTGATGAAAAGGTCTCTGATCCCACAATTCAACCCCACTTTTTCACTTTTTCTTAACCTAATCCTACAAAATAAATCAAAAAGAAATTGAGTGTCTATGGCCTAAAATAAGTTTTTGTTGGTGGGTACAACACTAAAATATCTCATGTTAGTCTTGGTATTGAAGTACCTGATTTGCCTTGTAGAATATCAATGCATAAAGGTTAAATTCATACTATCCAATTAGACTACATTTGACTTTCAATTAAACATAATGCACCAGTTTGATCCAATCACTCAATGAAACTAATAGATTTATCTTCTATTGTATGTTTTGTATGGTTGATATATTGATTGTTATTTCTGAAGTAGTACAATAAATGAAGCCTTGAGTGCTATAATTTTGGATAGAAGAAATTGCAGAATAATGACATTGAAGATTGTCTTATTAAATATCATAATGGAGATGGTTCTGGACTTCTTTTTACAAATTTATGGTCATTAGTAAAGCCCACAAACTCAAGCAGAAATATAACTAGCAAGAGGAAGAAAAAAGAGGGGGGGAAAATCTAACTATATGAATGAAACAAAAGTCTATTTGAAACCAATATTCTTGGTGTTGGAGGAAGAAGAATGTAACAATGAAGATGCAGAAAAGCTTGTATTATTGCTTTGCAAGTACAAGCTATGCATCTTTGAAGATGGCCCTCCATCACTACTACTCTTATTGTCTCCTCCATCTTTAAGGAGCGTATCAACTTTTTGGTACTCTTCTCTTTCATGTCTCATCTCTTTCAGCATTGCTGCGACATCTTTCATCGTTGGTCTATCATCTGGTGATGGATTAACACACAGCATAGCTACTCCTATAGTCTGCATCATCTCATCAACTTCTGATTCAGGACGACCACATAAGCTCACATCTAAGACTTCATCACTGCCTCTTTTCTGCCTCACCCAATCCACAATGTGTACTCCATCTGGTATTGTAGGATCAATTGGCTGCTTTCCTGTTAACACCTCTAACACAACTACTCCAAAGCTATAAACATCACTTTTCTCTGTTATTTTCATCATGTATCCATATTCTGCACAAGATAATATATACATGTGTATTAAAGATATAATGTATATAATTATAGTGTAATATTGTAAAGTGGTACTACGACTTGTGACGAACCTGGTGCTATGTATCCGTAGGAGCCAGCTACTGTATTGGAGGATCGAGCAAAATCTCCATCATCGACGAGTTTGGCTATACCAAAATCTGCAATGTATGGCTCAAAGTCAAGACCAATGAGAATGTTGTTGGCCTTGATGTCCCTATGAACAATTGGAGGTGTACAATCGTGGTGTAAATAAGCAAGCCCTTGAGCTGCACCTAGGACAATCTTGTATCTCAATTCCCACTCCAAACATCCATCACTTCGTTCGTGTAGAAGGCTACCTAGGCTTCCATTAGGCATGTAGTCATACATGAGTAACCTAGTGTTTTGATTCCAGCAGCAACCTAAGAACTTAACGATGTTCTTGTGACGGATGGAGCCAAGGGTTTTTACCTCGGTTGAGAAAGAATCGCGAACACCTCCACTAATTCCTGACTTTAAATTTTGGCAGTTGTATCCAGTTGCCAATGTGGTTGGCCATAGCTTCTTGACTGCAATTGCTTCACCATTTTCTAGTTCTGCACGATAAACAACCCCGGAGCATCCCTTTCCAATAACATTGGATTCCACTAGGCATCTCAAAATTTGTTCAACCGAAAAATTCAACTTCTGGAATGGAGTAAACTTCCAAGCCGATGAATCCCCTCCTCCAAATTCAGAATCATTATCTTCTCTACTCATTTTCCTCACTCTGTAAATTGCCAGCATTCCAAGGAGTGCCAAGGCTATAGTCACCACAGAAAGGAGTGCAATTGCCAATTTCAGCCTCCATGACCGTCTTACATTGCTATTACTCATCATTCCCCCGCCTTCAACATTGCTCAAGAAACAAGAATCATGTCCCAATGAGCACAAACCTTTGTTGCCAGCCATCTCTGCGGATGATAATTGCCTGAACAACTTATTATCAGGGAGGTAGCCGGTAAAATTGTTGTAGGAAACATTCAAGGAAACCAGATTTTCAAGCCCCGAAAGAGACAACAGGTCTCCTTCAAGCTTGTTGTGGGAAAGATCTAGTACTGAAAGTTTGTTTAAGGCAGATATCTGCGGTGGGACTACCCCACTCAAGATGTTCCAGCTTAAATTCAAGGCAATGTCAAGTGTCTGAATGTCAAACAATTCCACTGGCATGTTCCCTGAGAACTCATTGCTGCTGAGATCAAGCAATTGAAGGCTTGAACAATTGCCGAGAGTTGGGGGAATCGATCCAGAGAAGGCATTCTTACTAAGAACAAGCCGGTTAAGGTTAGCAAGTTGACCATAGCTCGCTGGAATCTGTCCGTTAAACTGATTCAAGGAAACATCCAAAATCTCTAGCCTACTGAGAGAAGAAAGAGAGCTAGGTAAATTCCCACTTAGAGTGTTATTAGATAGATTGAGCATTTGCAGTGTCTTGCAATTGCCAATCTCCTCAGGAACGGATCCTGTAAGGTGGTTCTCGGAGAGATCAAGAAAACTAAGGTTGTCTAGAAATCCTATCTCTCTTGGAATTTGTCCGCTAAGTTTATTGCCAATAAGTCGTATACGAATAAGAGAGCTACAATTACCTATCTCAGGTGGGATAAAACCAGAAATATCATTGGAAATCAACAGAAGCTTCGTTAAATTAGTTAATTGAAAAAGGTCAGGAGGTAAGCTACCAGTAAGAAGATTATGTGATAAGTCCAGAGCTTGTAGGCTTCTGCAACCACCCAATGCAGGAGGAATGCTTCCTTCAAGCTTGTTCTGCCAAGCAAAGAATACATTTAGCTCCTTCAACTGCCCCATTTCCGGAGGAATTGAGCCTGAAATTTGATTCGTATCCATCTGAAACTGTAACAGATTTGTCGCATTAGAAAGAACCGATGGGATTGAACCAGAAATGTTGTTGTTACTAATCATCAACTCTTGGAGATTCGTAAGGTTCCCGAATGACCAAGGGATGCTCCCGCTTAAAAAATTCAAAGAAAGATCAAGAATAACCAAACTTTTGCAATTCCCAATTTCATCAGGAATTAGCCCATCAAGATTATTTTGCCAAAGCAGCATCTTTTCTACTTTCTGAAGCTTTCCCAACTCTGCTGGCAGTGAACCTGACAGACTATTTTGGTATAAATACAAGTCAACTAGCTCTGAGCAGTTGCCTATTTCTGAAGGTATTTTTCCAGAAAGCATTGTAGTATAAATAGATAATACCTGAAGCTTTCCCAAGTTACCCAAAGATGGAGGAAGCGAACCTGAAATTTTCGTATCAGCAAGTCCCAACACTATCAAGTTCTTGCAATTCCCAAGCTCATCCGGAATTTTCCCACTAATATCTTTATTCCCTCCTGCTCTTATATTTTCTAAAACTCCAAGTTTTCCAAGTTCGGAAGGAAGATTTCCGCTAAACATATTGTCAAAGATAATAAGATTTTTCAGGTTAATGCAATTGCCAACCTCTCCTGGAATTTCCCCTGTTAGTTGATTAGAGTTCAAAATCAAATCTTCAAGATTTCTAAGGTTACCAATAGTTTTCGGTATGGTACCAACAAGACCATTTGAACTAACATCAAGTGTTACAAGTGAAACACAATCTCCAATATCCTGTGGGATTGTTCCAGTGAGATTAGCACCAGAAATGATCAGTTTTTGCAAGGATTGTAAAGAGGACATATTAGAAGGAAAAGGAAGAGCCAACTGAATAAACTGAATATCAATTTGTGTAACGAAAAGATTAGAAGAACAAACTATATGAGACCATTTACAAGGATTGGAATCTGAAGGATTCCAGTTTGAGAATGCTTGAGGAATTGGTGAATTAGTAGAATGAAGCCAAGAAAACAGGACATCAACTTCATTTGAAGGAAGAGCAAAGTTATGTAATAGAAGAAAAAAAGTTAGAAAGATAACAAGATTTGGGAGGTCCAAGAATCGCCTCGACATTGGCATTTGCATTGGGCATCAACTTCCAAATTCAAAATAATTTTCTTAGGTGAAATGCATTGGAGAGTTTGTTTATATTTTGGTTAAAACGCAGAATCTAGCTTTGCAGGGAAGCAAGAAAAGAAGAGACAATACAATAATTAGTTATTAAAGATTTGAAATAGTCACAAACAACTCCACCATCTTTCACCTCGGGGTTCTCTGCTGCATTATTATTAGTAGATGCCACCATGTGTTGCTGCATTGTTTTCCTCAAAACTCATTGTTGGTCTTGCTTTGGTATCTGAGCTCATTGCCTCTCCACTCTATTCATGTTTCTTCAATTTTGATTTCAAACTAATTAGTAAAATAAACACTTCTCATGAAACTCATTTCTCTTTTCTCTCATTACCATTTTCCAATAATGAGATGTTAGAAAACGAGGCATTGTCTTTGCACAAAATCTAACAAGACGTTTGGTAGAGTGTATCAGGAAAAAAAAATGTATGTAATACTTTTGTGTATTACTAGTATCTTGTTTGATACTCCGTCCATTCCATATTAATTTAAGCTTTGAGCCATTTTTCATTTTTCAAATTAACTTAAGTTTTCAATTTTCAAGACTATTTTTAAAATATTCTTTCAATTTTACCCTTTAAGTTAGTATTGGAATTAGTTATTATAATTAATGTTTAGTTATTTTTGACAATAATTAATAAGAGTAAAAATGGAAAATTATGTTCAATTTATGTCCTAACCTACTTTTCTTAAAGGGTGTGAAACACCTCAAAGCTTAAGTTAATATGGAATGGAGGGAGTACATTTTTTTCAATCTATGTACAGTGGGTGTAGTTACATGGTTGTCAAGACACCTTTCGTCGAAAAAAATATCATATATACAAGTAAAATGATGTAGGAAATGATTAAATAACATGTATTGGACATATTTAACACAACAAGCTATTGTAGCCCAGTGGTTTCAGATGCTTGTAATTAGGCAATGCTCGCGTGTTTAAATCTTACTAGTAGCAAATGTTTTTTCTACTTTTTGAAAAGAGCTTTGTTGTGCTATTTTTGGACACCTTTTGTGAAATTCTTGGCTCTGCCACTGTGACAGAATTGTCCCTCAAAACTTTTTCTATATCTCTTCCATCATATTTGTGATTGGTATTTTAGTAAACAAATGTTTCATTTTTAGAAACTATGTATCTCAATTTACATGTTATTTTTAATACACCAAATTAAATATTGCATAAGAAATAATATCAACATAACTAATGCGAACATAATTAATACAAACATTATTAATATACTATATAAAGCATTATTCTTTTACACCCTAACAAACGACGCCTAAAAAAACATGAAAATGTTTGGTCGAGTGTAGTGCCTAATGTGGATACAACATCTTAAACGAAATGTTCTACAACGTTTAACCTAAATATCCATTTGATAAAATAGATAAGGAAGCCAACGTCGTGTTAACGTCCCTATTTTAACTAAATTTGTAATGCCTTCATATATCCTACATTTCTATTCTATTACATACAAATGGGTTCATCGTTCCTTAAATAATTAATTATATTCGTAAGATACAAATATTTAGTCTTAACCTTTTCAATTTGTTTGCCCTAATAGTGTCGAAAAACCATCATCCTTACAAACTTCAGATTTTTTCCCATATACATTACTCTTTTGTTCCAATGGAGTTGATTTATTGTGTATCAATAAATCAGCTCCATTATGTACACTATTTATGATGAACACAATCTTTGTGTAAAGCAATCAATAAGTATTGAGGTGGAATGGTAAGTAATCATGATAAAGTCTCAGGTTCAAATCATCTTGAGTACGGAGTCTCCTTTATTAGGGAGTACTTTACCCTTCAATATAGGACTTTTGATGTGAATTCGAATATAATCGAACTTCAATGTGGGTAACAAACACCAGACAAGGACAGTGAGGTAAATTAAAGAAGGGCCCAGATTTTAAGGCCAAACCATGTGAAACTAAGAGTGTAGAGAGGTAGTTCATTTTTTTTTTCAACCATAACTCTGACGACACACAGTTGCTATCATGTGGAGTCTGACTTTTAAGATATACTACTAGTAATTAAGTTGCATTATTTTAAAGCCAAAAATGATTTCATATTGTAGGTTTAATATAAGTAATATATTTACCTTAACTATGCCCTAACTTCTAGGACTTACCTTGGGAACATCCAATTATGGAATCTTTAGCTCTTTTTTGTTTGTTAACATCACGTTCGCCGTATCCAAACCCCTCCACCCTTCTTTTTCTTATTTTATACGCTTTCTGTTTTAAATTAAGCAATTTATTTTGATTTCATACGAAATTTAAGTAAATAAATATATGAATTTTATGGTCTAAATTTAAAAATTTGTCAAATACATTCAAATATTATTTAATTTGGTGGTCTTAATCAGTCATGTGAAAAATTAAATTAAAAATTGCTAAAAAAAGAGGAAAGGATAAAAAAAAATTGAAACACAAAGAAAAAAAAACTAGGTCAGACAACTTAAAACGGGGAGTAATAACAATATTAATAAAAAAGAAATCGATGTATTGCAAGTTTGTTCCTTGCTAGTACTTCCTAAAAATACTCCTTTAGAATTAATACCAAGAAACCCCCTAAATCAGTCACTTTTTACATGTTTAATATAATACTTAAAATTATGAGTTGTTGTTATCTTCTCTAAACAATGACATTTCATATTTAAAAAAAGCTCTTGTAGAATGTAGTGGCATAAAAAGTAATGCAACTTTTTTTTTATAGCGTGTGCAAGCTAGAAAGTAGACCAAAAAGAACATTCTGTGAATTTCACATTAATTTTTTAAAATAAATTATTTTTTGTTAGTATTTTCTTTTTTTTTCCTTTTATTATTTATTATTTTTCTTCAAATCTCTACATGTTTTGCTAAGAACATTAAACTAATTACCATACAATAATAGTAACATCACAAATAAAATAAAATAGAACAAAAAATTAGTTGAAAATTACGACTCAGTTTTATCATAACAGTAAATTTAGTTTAAAAAATGTAATTCTAAAATGAAAATAATACAAAAAAAAAAAAACGGAATATTGGTGCAAGGGGAAAAAGTTTTGATTTTTTTTTCTTCTTGAAAATCCAAAAACTTTTTTCTTTTTTAACAGTCAACTCCAGTTGGAAATCTGTATTTAAATGACAGTAAACTTAAAATTGATCATGAAAGCAAATTTTATCTCAAGTTCAAATAAAATTTACTGACTAATATATAATAAATTTGATTGAAAAGATTGAATATTAAAATGTACTCAAAATAAATTTTTTTAACTAAGAAATTGTTTGAATCCCTTCCTCAGTTTGACTTGTAACATTTGAAACTTCATTTAACAGGGAATCAAACTGCCATCTTGGTGTGGAAGAATTATTTGCGATGCCACAACATATCCAAGTAAGCAAGAACGACATTAGCAAGAGTTATTTCTCCATGATTAAATAGGACATGACATAGTTGCAGTTTATCGAGGACATGACCTCAAATAGAAAGGTCTGGAGGACATGAGTTAAGATTGAATGTTAATACACGTTAGTTAAAGCATGTCATCCAATATTGATTAGTGTGATATTTTTATCAAACATAGAAATATAAACTAATGTAATAACGTATAAATTTGAATAATGATTTTAGTACTTAAAGTTTACTTTGTCAAGTGTTGATTTTGAACTTCACTTTGAACCATGAGGTCGCAAGTTTGAACCAGTCTCATCACCTCAAATTGGGGAGGAGGGCAGGTTTTAAACCAGTGCACCTAAATAGTTTTAGTGCTCTTAGAGTTCCTAATGAAATATATCTCATACCTCAAGCTATATATACGTATATATAGATATTTTCCCCCGAAGTTAACGGGTGCATGTGCATTCTCACATTGGCACGTGAGCTCGTCTCTGATTGTAAGATGTCACGACCCTGACTCGTCATGAGTGGCACCCACAATAACCCCGGTAGGAAAACCATCTAATTTCTAACATACAGTCCATTAACAACATAAAACAAATAGTTTTTTTAATACCAAAACATCTTTCATAGAATAAAAGTTGAGTCTTAAAAACAATCGCGGAAAATTCCTTAGAGACTGAAACTCGTGTACTAAAACTCTACATAGTCTAGAGTAAGGGGATGCAACCCCCAAAAAATGAATCTAAAGAGTCTGAATCCGAATAGATGGACTTAGAGTAAAGAGGGATTCACAACAACCTGGAAGAAGTACATCATCCTTGGATTCGGTTAGCGTTGGAATCACAATTGAAGTCGCAAAACATCTCCTGAATATGTCTTGTACTCAACAAAGAAATAGAAAGTGTAGTATCAGTACATAACCATTGTGTACTATGATAGAATCATCGGACAAATCCAAGGATACAAATGTAAACACATAACTAAATCATAGTACAACAAGACAACACATACATCAATCAAGTCAGTAATGCAACAAGACTCTTGGTCACTGATCCCGAGTGATTAACGTTTCAACGACACTTCATCCAATTCTAAGTGTCAACGATCGCTAGTCAGTATATAACCCAACTAAATGAGTTGGGGTTGAATCCCACATGGAGTGGTACGTGTTTAAGATTCAATAAAAAAGTACAAATATGTTCAAATTAGCCAAAGGAATAGACATTTACGAATAAAAACATAATTCAAATTAGGGGGTGACATGAATGTCAAATAACAGGAGGTTTTGGTTTGAAATTATCAGCTATAACAACAACAAATAACACAATAATAACAATAATTAGACGGGTTCTTGGGATGTGATTCAATTATAAGCTAATGTAGACAAATGGGTAATTGCAACTGTTAGAAAATAGTTGAATGTTAGTGAATAAGCTAGACTATAGAGGAGGTAAACTTTCTCTCGAACAATTTACCCTGAATGAAGTCAATTTCTCTCAAACATCGACAAGCATACAAAATAAGAACAACCTACGCCTTAGTCCATTCACTCTCT